GGCCGAATTATTACGCATATCTTCAAGCATCAGTGCAGCGCTGAAATCCAGTTCCTGGGTGCGAAATAGTCCGAATGTTTCGACAACCCAATGTCGATGCTGCCAGGCATGGTAATTTTTCGATTCCTCATCAAGCATTTGTGCGGTAAAATCGAGTTCACGGCTCGCATCATTGGTCCATTCGACCAGTGTTCGACGATGATGCCAAACTGCAAAACAGTGCAGGCATATGGTCCAATTTTGTTGAAAAAACGTACTGCTTTGCATCACAGGTCTGCTGGATAAGGCAATAGGAAGTAGCGCCGTGCAGTAGGTCGAAAATTTGGCTCCACCAGTTCGATAACCAATTTTTTTACGATTTATTCAATCGTTTTGATGGTAAATTGGTACTAGCGCATGCTAAGGAGTGAAAGAACTATCAACTTACTATCGGCTAATCCCACAATTACGGCCCCTCCCCTTCTTTCCTTGCATCTTTCTTTTTTCCTTTTCCATTAAACATTACGACTGTCATACTGACGAGGTCCAGTCGCAGTGTTGAGTTAAGATGTATAAAACTTAATGGATCGAAACGTCTTATTTAAGGTTAAAAGAAAATTGTATAAATGCTGTTGAAAAATATAAGGATGATAGAAAAGATAAAAAAAGATGATAGAAAAGATAAAAAGGATGGATGTGGAAAGAAGTATTAAATTAGGCAAAAAATGTTTCGGTCCATTAAATCGTATACATTTCTTACCGCTATCACATTTAGACCTCGTCAGTACGACGACTGTGGTAACAATATAATTTAGTTAAGAGTAAAAATTAATTAAGATCGAAAAGATGTAAATACTGGTAATGATCACTCTTATCTCACTCTCTTGCCTTCTTTCCTCATACTGTTTCTGCTTTCTGTATTCAGTTGTGCCTTCAAATACTTCGGCTTCCTGGGTCAACCTGGATGTTACAATCGGCTTACTTGTAAGTAATTTCTAAAAAGGGAGCCAATTGATAGCTTTGCCAGTGAGGTTTGTTGGTTACATTTGCTACCACTCGGACTATTTCCGGTGTTCTGCCTCTCAGCGAATTTGGAGAGGGATTTTCGCTTTTACTGAATCGTAACAAACTATTAGACATCATTTTAAGTGCCAGTACATATAAAGTTCCATCTACCATTTATGTTGATAGAAAAATATAACTTTTGCAGATTAGCATCACGAATAAAAACAAACGGCAGGCGAAATCCTGAGCAGTTAAACCGGAACCTTTCAGCATTTACTCTCCATGAAAGGCGGAAGCACTTGGAAGTAGTCCGAATAGTAGCAAATGCCAACATAAGAATCCTCGTTGGCAAAACTGTCGATGGCTCCCTCTTTCAAGATTGTAAAAAAAAAGCTAATGATGGTTCCGAATCTCTCGTAAGTGCCAGTACAAATTTGACATCGAAATGAACGAATAAATCATAAGTGGAGCAATAGTCCATCCGCGAAATCGAGTTTTCACCCCTCAACGCCTCAACCCCGCTAACTGCCATGTTCCGGAAAAGGAAAACTGTCCGGAGAGCAAAAAATGCATTTAAGCCGATTGAAAAGCAACCAAGTTGACCTTGGAAGCCTAAACGACGAAGGAGCGATAGAGTACAGCACAAAAAAACAGTATGAGAAAAGAGGGTAAGAGTGAGATAAGATGTTTCGTTCCATTAAAGGTTAAAAGAGAATATAGGAGAAGGCAATGATGAAAAG